GGAAGTTCCCATTGAGGGCTTTCCCCGCTCTCATATTCGGCATTTACATTCTCGTTCGGATGTTAGCATGGCATTTTCTTCAACAACAAACGCTGACGATTCATTCCAAGTACCAGAAATCGACGACTCTAACCCACTTGTCAACACGGATGCGGAAGACGAAGTGGACCTTCTCAACGCCGTCGAGAACGATCCGCAGTGGCCGAATGACGAAGACAGCGCAGCCCTCGTAGACCAAATTGTCGAAGCTACCGATGAAAATGCGACGAACAAGGTAACCCCTAACACCAGCGCAACTTCAACCTTGAACGGCGATGAAGTCACGTACGAAAACAACGAGCTCGATGTGAACGCCGACGTGGGCGAGAACGATATCAACGAGAACGACGGGGCCGACGTTGAAGGTCAGGATGACGAGTTGGAGGAAATTGACTGGAGAGAGTTCCCTGGGCAAGGCGATGACGAAGTTTCGGAGTCCCCTGCGGTCGTGGGCAAACGCCCCCGGTCGGATGTGGACGACCTGCTGGATGATGAAGCTGAGAAAGGTACGCTGCAAGCCGGTAAAAGACTGAGGATATGTGGGGAAACTAACAATGTCGCAGACGTCAAGCGTCGTCGCTCTTAAACTTCGTACATCCTTCCACTAACTTCCCATGATATGCTTTCGCATATTATCCGGATCTAGGGCTGGCAGGCTTTGCGCGTTGTGCAGGTGATGCAATCGGCGAACTCTCGGCGTAACGATACAACAACAAAATGGACAACTGGACCATCCAAACAGACAAATCTCCAGGAAAATGATGGACTCATTGAAGTCTGCATGACACCCAGGTAGGGTTCTGATGATTTTTGTACTGACCCATAGCTTTTTTACAATTCGCAACCAAAGGTGCCGAGGTAATCCTGGCATGTTGAATGGACGATGCGCTCTTCATACAGTATTCCTTCAATCTTCTCGATACCCCGTCTACTATCTGGCGATGTTGGTGGATTCCTGGCGTACAAGGCGGGTGAAAATGGTGGGACAACCTGGACGGTGGGCGATGTTCTTGTACAGCGGCAGGTCGATCGTGAGGTGGTCAAAAGGCCTGCTCAGCAAGGCAACGACCCCCCTTTGTGACACGAGAGGCAGGCAGATCCAATATTTGACGATGCTTCTCTGGAATGTGTTCTATGAGAGGCAGACTCCGTCACGGGATGCAGGTGCCTGCTTGGAGATGTAGGCATGTTGACGTGCCAACTCACCGGGTTGCGCTGTTCCTCTTAGGGATGACCTTTTCGATAATTCCGTAGTCACGATGAATACACATCATACTCGATACAAGCTAATTGCATATGACGAGTCATTTCTGGAGGGAATATCCTCGTTAGGAGACACCCGTTGGTGCATCTCTTGAATTCGTCACGTGCTAACACGGCCTTTAGACCACAGATGGGACGACGAGGCGCTGAATAGAGGACGAGCGATTGGGCTCGTCCGACCTTCATCATAAAACAGCATCTGTTTGACGGTCTTACAACTAGTCGTCTTCAAGTCAAGATGCAAAATACGCTTATAAGGAACCGCCTTGGCAACTCGGCAAAAAGAATCTTAAGACGGTTCCTGATGATTGGAGTGGATATTGGTCTATGACGAGCAGTGGCCCTGGGTTCACTTCATCCTAAGTCTTAGTTTTGATTCCAACGTGGGCAGAGACTTTGAAGGTTGCAATGGATCAGGAACGGCCAGGGGGAATGAGGGCGCGATGGGATGCGAGAAGCCCTGCGAGGAAAAGGGTTAATGGAAGCTTGGGCTTTCTTTGTTGCGCTGGCGAGCATTTCAATGCAAGACCACGCGAACGAAATGCAGTTAGCGACGACGTTAATGAGTAGAAGGATCGAGGCGCCAGAAAAAAGTGGTGTGGTGGGATAGACTTTTGTGTCTGGTTGAGTAGGTCTCGACTGTTGCAGGCGTGGGGATCCTTGTGGTGGTGGCCCGTCGTTAAGAGGGCAGACGTTATGGCAGTTTGTTTCGACAACCGTTCTCGTTATGCGGTTCCCGGGCGGCCGCGTTGCCGCATTAACTGCTGAACGAGGGAGGGGAGTGGAAGTGATGGACGCTAGGAAGTGGAAGGACAAACGAGCTGTCATCTGCAACGAGGCTGTGTGTGGTAATTTTTGTTTGGTTTGCATGGGAATCCGGGGAGGATGGGAAGTCTCTCGTGGGTGAGATACCTAGAGGCTGGTCACGATGGTCCCGCCTCTGCATTCCTCAGTTCCTTCAAGGGGCGCTGTGGGATACCTCAACTTGGGTAGAGTATGGATCGTTGAACACAGGTGGAACATGTTGGCATACAACGTCTGCCTGATATCTACGGATAGAAACAGCCGGGTAGACGGACATTTACAGTGGGAGCGTTCGCCGTTCACAGGTTCAGCAGCGAAGGTGATGACGACGAAGGTGCACTATGTGTATTAGAGGGTGTGGCTGTGGTTTAATTAAAAAGGAGCCCGTTTGGTCGTGTCAAGAGGGAAGGCACAGAGGGAGTGAAGCGGGTTTTCACAGTGTCATTCGTAATGAAGCTGTTTCAACGACCCCACTTGGCTGGTTGGTGCAGATGCACGAGTTGAAAAATAGAAATGCCGATTGTGCCCTGATGCTTGGTGCTTGTGCCTCGGGGGATCGATCTCGTATGGAACGTCAAAAAATCTCCTTCTCCTGACCGAAAAGAGCAGCCATCCCGCTAATTAACAGACACACACAAGCTGGTAGGCGTCGTAAGTCCAGTGTGGATGTGACCGGGCAGCCAGTGGTAGAAAGATCCAGGCCCCCGTCCAACGCTGATATTGGAGAGTGTGCAGTGTCAACCAGCTGGGCATGCCTCGATGCCCCCTGCGGAGAACCCAAGAGACCGGCGGAACCTCCCACGCTCACCAGCCGGCGGTTCACTTTCACCCCCTGTCGTGGTACGGGGAGGCGAGGGGGACAAGTCAGGGACCAATTGCCAGTTCCGACCCCCCTGGCCGATGGTGACCTCAGTCAACGGGCCAGGCGCGTGCCTTGGTTTGGGGATTGTCACTGGGGCATACCGATGAGGATCCAGGATGAGATTATACAGTGGAATATCCAGAGGATCTGGTTCGAGAAAACGCAGAGAATCAGAAATGCCCTATCTGAGCAAGCTATAGAAAGCCATTGAAAAAACAAGAGACGAAAAAAAGGTACAGGACTCGGCACAGAGACTTGGCGTCCCTGCAGAATTTGTCTGTGTCAGGAAAATGGCTTTCCGTCCAAAATCGCATGCGAGGGGTGTTCCATCCTCCTGATTCCGACCGTCATCCGTCAAGCATCTGTACAGGCTGCGTACAATTCCATGCACAGACGGGATACAAGCCTCATCGCCACGGTGTTCGTAGTGTAGGTAGGTACGGGAGCGGAACGGACAGTTTGCAGTTCCAACAAGCAGCAGCCAGCATGAATCGAGTGACTGACTTGTATGGCAGAGGCAGCAGCGGAACAAGAAGCACATCGCCATCAGCAGCGTCCTTGTGCCTCGTTCTTCAGTCTTGTGCTGACTGTCACAGCTGCGCTGCCCTGTCGGTCCCGTCGTCAGTAGTGCCCTGCAACCTGCAGCACGCTAAAACACACCACCTCGCCTTTGCCTCGCCTCATCACATCACCCGCGGCCAGCGACCGGCCACACGGTCAATCAATCTAGAGGTACTCCGTACCTCCTCCGTTACCCACAGCAGCTTGCAGCAGCAGGCTGAGCTTCTGCTGTCCCTCCCAAAAGTGGACAGTCTGTCCTGGTTGTTGTCACTCGTGGTCCGTCGCCGACGCCGTTCCCCGTACTCCACCATCCACTACGGTACCTAAGGTACACTGTAAGGTAAGGTACCTTACCTGGTGTCCTCTGCCCACCTCACTGGCCAGACCAAGACTCGATCTAGCAGTCCCCCTTCGGCCTCAGCCCCTCGTGTCGCGTAAGATACTGGGCCGAATAAAGTATCTTTTATTTCTACAGCGGTTAGTCGGGGTCGATAAATGTACCCACTCTCACTCAACAACTCTGCGCCGCAGCCAAGTTCTTTCCAGAGAGAGGACTAGGGGGAAGAAAAAAGAAGGGACCTATCGCAGCAACCTCTTAGCCAATCTGATCCAGGAACATCATCGGCCACAGGTACCGTCTCTAACCTCACGGCTACAGAGGTACATAGCTCTGACACTCTTCCCCCACAGCTTCTCGCATCCAGCACCCACGCATCTCACTCTCTCCCGCACACACACAGATTGGACACACTCTCTCTGTCTCCTGCCCAGAGTGACTTGTGACTTGCAACAGGGCACCATTTCCACCCTTCACAGGGGCCTCTGAAACTCAAACCTGTCCCTATCTGGCTGGTTGGCATTCCTCCCGACCTCGACACCACGCACCTACCCACTCCGCGTCCACTGCCAAACTGCGAGGAACCACACCCGCCTCTGCCCGCTACCACCTCATTACCTGAAGGCTACCTTGGCTTGCCGCCCTCTTGCCTTATCGTTGCGAGGTACCGATCAAGGCTCGGCCTGTCACACTACGTACCGCCCTCACAGTTTTATCTGCAAAATCCCACGAAACATCTCTCCCTCTCCTTTTGGCCTTCCACTCGCGCCAACCCACCGACCTGTCCCGTCCAGACGAGTGACCACGAAGACGACCCCCTCGACTCGATTCGAACCCGACGAGATCGAACCCCGAAGACCAGCGACCATCGCCCTCCACCACGAACCTGTGACTCGGCCTTCCAAACGCTGGAGTCTTCGAGAGTTGCATCGTCTTTCCATGTGTCGCTGCTGACGACGTTCGACCTTACCTCCAACCTCTCCATCTTCCTCGCCCGGCGCGAGCCTCGCCAGCTCCCATATACGGGACACGACACTCTCTCAGCAACCACCTCGCCACGGCGCACGCATCTACTAGAACCTGACGCTCATTTGGCTCTCCGTCGCCGGTACCGCGCTCATTTTTGGCAACATGATGTTAGACGAGAAGTACGTTTGCGATCTGTTCGGCGTACGAAGCGTTCGCTACGCAATGCCGATGCGTCCACCTGGTCTTGAGAGCAGAGCTCGCTGACACCATCCCGCGCAGATACATTGGCCTGGCCTTGGCCATGGCATCTAGTTTAGCCATAGGTACGCATTTGCTACTTGTTCTGCAGCTCGACCTCTCTTTGCTAATTGCTTAACCACAGGAATCAGTTTCGTGATCACAAAAAAGGTACGCGACCTTTTGCCGCGGTATCGAGAGCCACCTCGATCAACCCATCAATCATTTGCGACGCCGATACTGACGGTCGCTATAGGGTCTCATGCAAGCGGAAGAGCGCCATGGATTTGAGGGAGATGGTTTTGTCTATCTCAAGAGCCCGGTATGGTGGGCCGGTATTACGACTTGTGAGCTTGTGCGATTTCCCTCAGATGGCGCTTGTCGCTAACTCTTGCTCAGTGGTTGTCGGAGAAATCTGCAACTTTGCGGCCTACGCCTTTGCGCCTGCAATTCTCGTCACACCTCTAGGAGCTCTATCTGTCCTCATCGGAGCTGTACTTGGGTCCTACTTCCTAAGGGAAGAGCTCGGTACTCTGGGCCGTCTCGGCAGTGCCATTTGCTTGATTGGCGCCGTCATCATCGTCCTTCATGCGCCTCCAGATGAGGACATTCAGACGATTGACCAGATTCTGCACTACGCCATTCAGCCTGGTGAGTCTCGATGCTGGCCAGAGCCGGCGTTGCGACTGAAGCTAACACGGTACCAGGCTTCCTGCTGTACGCCTTCGCGGTCACTGTTTTTGCAGTTGTCATGATCTACAAGGTTGCGCCAGTCCACGGAAAGAAGAACGCCCTCATTTACCTCTCGATCTGCTCGACGGTCGGCTCGGTCTCCGTCATGTCTGTCAAGGCTTTTGGTATTGCCCTCAAGCTCACATTCGCCGGAAACAACCAATTTTCCCACCCGTCGACTTACGTGTTCATGATCCTGACGGCCGTTTGCATCTTGACCCAAATGAACTACTTCAACAAGGCGCTCGCCCAGTTCCCCACAAACATGTAAGTCGCATGCTATTTTCTGCGTCGGCGGCCGCGGGCTGCGCTAATCAGGTGCCGCGTAGCGTCAACCCCCTTTACTACGTAACGTTCACGACCGCGACCCTTTGCGCCTCGTTCATTCTCTTTGGCGGTTTCAACACCACCGACACCGTCAATACGATCTCCCTGATCTGCGGCTTCTTGGTCACCTTCACCGGTGTCTACTTGCTTAACCTTTCGAGATCCGACCCGAATGGACACCACCTGGTTGCTGGCCGCGGTGGTTCGGATGCCATGGGCACGGACATGGTCTCAACCATTCAGACTCGCCTTAGCATGCAGGCGCGCAGAAGCACCGACCCGCGAATGAGCATTGGCAGCCGCCACGGTGACACGACCGGTCTGATGAGAGCCTACGACGAGGAGGCTGGAGCCGAGTTTGGGTTGACCGACCTTGCTGATGATAGCGACGACGAAATCGACCACCGCAGAGGCAATGGATCCGCCAATGGCCACTCCAAGTCCTACAACGAGACCATTGAGCTTCAAAATCAGCGATCCGATAGGTGAGGAGGCAAGACACGGAAGTCTGTTTCCTAGGTATTGGTAGAAGTTGAGGCGGTAGTTGTCTTTTTCTCGAAGCATTTCTCTTACCCAGGGCTCGATTTCAAGGGCAGCATTGTACATTTTCTCTCGAAGCCATATGACTGAGAAGTTCTCCACGACATGATCGGATCCAACGAAAGAGGCACAGACCCACGGAAAAGGTGCAGGCGCACCCCGAGTAAAGGAGGGGAGCAGTGGGAAACCAGAAAGCAGTTTTCCATACCATTTTCACTTCCGCCACGGCACGAGGAGTATTACAGGGCGGGACGGACATTCGGGGCGTTCATCGGGGTTTGCATGGTTCCAAGTGCGGAAGCACCTCTTGTTGTACGATTAAGGGCGAACGGGAAGAGAGCGTGAGAGAGGCACGCTCTGTTTCGCCGGGCGAGACGGCATTTGATTCCTTGTCCAGAGCATTGAGCACCATAGACCAGGCCACCCAGAGCCTTGAATTAAGTACGACAAGCAAAATTGCCGTCGCAACTCGATGATCTCAGTGAGACGGGCTGGACGGATGATGCGGGTATCTTGAAATTGTTTACGTAGGTCTAATGAAGTCATTGGCACATCTCACACAACTGCTTCTTGCTCTGTTCTTCTCCACGGAATGGGGGCAGACATCACGTCACTTCACATGAGATTGACACATGTTGATTGAATGATTTCGTTGCTCATTTCATGGTTTGTACCATTACAAGCCAGTCGCAACTATCCGAATTCCCTTTTTCGCAGAGTGATGCAAATGTGATCAAGACGCCTGAGTAGTATTCCACCCCCGTCCTCCCTTTGCTGTTCGCGCGACACCTTTTTGTTTTTCCCAAATTGCGAATCTTTTTGGAGAAAAGAGAAGAAGGAAGCGAGCGAGACAGTTGTCCGAAAATAGCAGTCTACCAAATAGAGGGCAAGAAGCTGGACTGCTGCTGCTGCTGCTGCTGGTAGTTGTTGGCAGACTGCTGGTAGTCATCAACCTCGTCGGTCGAAGAAGCCTGGGGCTCGACAGCCTCCTACGACTGGGCCTCAGCCTCCTCGCCACCCTCCTGCTGCTCCTGTTGTTGCGCCTCGGCGGCGGCCTGGGCCTGGGCGGCCTTGGCACCGTAGTCCTGGGACATGGGCTGGACGACGCTCTGCTCCTCCTTGGGCTCGAGGATAGAGACGGCGTCAGGGAGGGTCTTCTGGGGACCGGCCTTGCCCTCGGGGTCGGAGCCGCGCATGATCTTGACCTTGATACCAAGAACACCCTGGCGGAGGAGAACGTGGCGGGTGGCGGAGTCGATGAAGTCCTTAGCGGGCTGGCCGGAGTGGATCATGAAGCCGTCGGTGAACTTCATGGACTTGGCACGGGCGGCACGGAGCTTGCCGGAGACGACGACCTCGCAACCCTTGGCGCCGGACTCCATGATGAAGCGGAGGACACCGTAGCAGGCACGGCGGACGGCGAGACCGTTGAGGAGCTTGTAGCGGAGGGACTCGCACTGGGCGACGGCGGAGAGACCACGGTTCTGGACCTTGGCGGCGTAGAGGGAGACGGAGTTCTCGGGGAACTTGAAGCGCTTCTGGATGAGGGAGGTGAGCTCGCGGATGCGGCGTCCCTGCTCGCCGAGGACCTCCTGGGTGTGGGTGGCGCGGATGATGATGTCGGTTACCGTGGGGGTGACGCGGACCTCGACGCCGGAGTAGCCCTCCTCGGCCAGCTCGCGCTGGAAGAACTCGTTGAGCTCAGCGTAGAAGACGCCATCGGCGACGAACTTTCTGCGCTTGGAGCTGTGGAAGAAACAAAAGTCAGCGTTATTTGTTCGTGTAGTCGATGGTAAAGCCAGGACTATTCTTCTTCGTCTTCGTCGTCGTTTTCTTCCCTTCTCCCATCATCGCGAAACCTCGAATTTTGGCGGGGGTGGGTTCGTCCTCCCAGCGCAAGACGCAAAAAAAGTGTAATTGTCACTGCCGGGGAAGAGGAGGGGGAATTGGCTTACATCTGAGTGCCTGGAACAGCCATCTTGACTTTCTTTGCCCGGTGTCGAAAGGGGTTGGGATAGGTGGACGGGTTGGTTAGAAGTTCGACGTCGTCGGGGGGTGGTGTTGGCGAGTAAATGAGGTTGTCAAAGCAGCTCGATTCGTCCGGCTCGGCTCAGAAGCGGGAATTCTCGCTGTGGGAAGGAAAATTGTGTGAAGCCCTAGAGTCTCGATTGACCTGCGTGGTCTGTGCTTTTTTTCCTTGCCTCCAGTGTCTGCACCGGGCGCACGTCCCCCCACGCGCCTGCCTTGCTCCCAGCCAAAGTGGTTTTTTTTCCTGCAACGCGCCGGCTCGCCTTAGGTAAGCGTCGACTTGCTGACCTTCCACCTGCAGCCAGCTGGCTGGAGGTCGGTCATCGGGACAGACTTTTCCGTTTCCCGGGCGGGACCTGACGGGAGTGTGGGGTTTCAAGGGGTCACAGTGAATTCACATCTGAAGACACCGCGCCACACCTACCCCGGGGCGACCAGCTCACCAAGGGTTGGTGGGGCAGAATGCTCCCTGGGCTGTCACTGGAAGCTGCCGGTCACAGGTCACACAGCTGAAGACGTCAGGTGGGTGACATTTCAGGCAGTCCGTCTGGACCTGGAGCTGCGATTCAGGTCGCGATGTTTGCTGGTGATGTGTTTTGGTGTGTTTTCCAGAACATGATTTAAGGAACAGATTACGTTTTAGCTAAAATACGCCTGGCTGCACAAACAATGATGATACACACAAGGAGAGGGAAACACACCGCCAATATTCTTACCTGATGATGATGTCCTGCACATGTCCCTGGTGATGCAACTGCTAAAGGTAGCTCCCGTAAATTTCCCTGCTCAGACGGGAGACGTAGTGGAATCACTTTGCAGACTGACAGCCTGAGAAAAACAAAAGAAAGGCAGAGAGACAACTCACAAGAAAACAGCAAAAACATCTTCATCGTACCAAAGTAAACAAAGCGGCCAGAAACATCAAAGACCCGGTCACTGAAGAGCAGCACATGGAAGCTGCAGCAGCTGGAGTGCTTGAGTGCCCAGGCCGCACCCCCGTGGACCAAAGGCCGTGACGTCTGTTTTCAGCCCCTCGCTAGTGGGGCCACAGCCGACCCGTCGCTCCTTCCTGCGTCTGCTGTCTGCGCCTGCGCCTGCCCTGCGACACCAGCAGCCGACCTGACCACTGACCCGACCTCTACCTTACCTCCCAAACCTTGCTTGACTTGCGCAACCTCCAAAATCCAACGCCGCGCGGTCCAACGAAAATCTCTCCCCTTCGCATTTCTTCTCTCTTGCTCAAGTTCACTTTGAAGGAGTTGTGCGGCCTCACAAGCTGCCCTCTTCGAGTGATTTAACCTGCCGACCTACCTACGACGCTCCCTTACCTTCCGGACATCCCGCGCGGCCATGCTCCTCTAGCTAAAAAGCAATATCATCACTCGCAGTTCAATATGGAGGCCCGAAAGGCAAGTTACGCGACCCTTCAGCTGAATTAATGTTTTGCTTCCTTCCCTCCCGCGCTCCATCTCCCTAAAAGAGGTGTACTAACGTGTTGTCCAACAGGTGGTCGAGAACGTCCAGGGCATCAGCGGCGGAGTCACCTCCACCGGCACCCTTCGTCTGACCGACTACCACCTCGTCTACTGCGTCCCGGTTAAAGCCTCAAAGGACCAACCGCTCCCTCAACCGCCGAACCAAGCACCCAAGACTCGCGAATCATGGATTACGTTTCCTATCCTGTCAAACGTGCAACTCCGGCTCATGCCCCCGACCACTGGCATTCATAGCTCAATCCGCATCCGCTGTCGCGACTTCGTCTTCGTCACCTTCACATTCCAAGACGACAAAGCTGCCAAGGAGGTGTTCGAGTTCATCAAGGCCCGAACCTGCAAGCTTCCCTCCGTCGAGTCGCTCTTCGCGTTCCATCATAAGCCCTCCAAAGTCGAGAAGCACGTCAATGGCTGGCACATCTACGATCCGAGAGCCGAGTTCCGTCGACAGGGTATTAGCGAGAAGTCGGCGGACTTGGGATGGAGAATCAGCAACATCAACAAGGACTATACCTTTTGCGACACGTACCCTGCCGTTCTTGTGGTTCCCTCTTCCATCTCCGATAATGTCCTCAAGTACGCCAAGGATTACCGCTCTAGAAACCGCATCCCGGCTCTTAGCTATATTCACAAGGTCAACAACTGCACCATTACTCGCAGCGCCCAGCCCTTGTCGGGCATCACCAGGAAGAACAATGTTCAGGACGAGAAGCTTGTGTTGGCGTCGTTCGCGGAGCGTGTTCCCCGGACCAGCGTCGACTCCGAGCAGCCTCCCCAGTTGCCGGCTTCGGAGACCACCAGTCTTTCAGAGCTCGAGAAGTACGAGGAGAGCATCATCGAGGATGCTGCGCCCAAGGTTTACGACGAGAAGACTGGCAAGAGGCTTGTTTATGGAGCTCAGCAAGCCAACATGATTGTCGACGCCCGGCCCACTGTCAACGCTATGGTCAACCAAGTCCAAGGAATGGGATCGGAGCCCATGGACCGCTACCCTGGTGCCACAAAGGCCTTTATGAACATTGAGAACATTCACGTCATGAGAAACTCTTTGAACAAGGTTGTGGACTGCATCAAAGACGCAGACGTCTCGCCCTTGCCGCCTGACCAGAACGCCCTCTTTGCAACTGGCTGGCTCAAGCACACCGCAGCAGTGCTCAACGGTGCTGAGATTATTGCTCGACAGATCTGGTACAAGCACTCTCATGTGTTGATCCATTGCTCTGATGGTTGGGACCGCACAAGTCAGCTCAGCGCCCTTGCTCAGATCCTCCTGGACCCGTACTTCCGAACCATTGAGGGATTCATGGTTCTGGTGGAGAAGGATTGGTTATCTTTTGGCCACATGTTCAGACTGCGGTCTGGCCCCTTGAACCATGAGAGCTGGTTCAATGTTCAGAGAGATGGCATGGCTGGTCAAACCGTCCAGCCTGGCGAGAATGACGGCCGCGCAGACGCATTCCAGAACGTCATTGCCGGAGCGCGCCGGTTCTTCAACCAGAACAAGGATGACCCCACGGAGCAGCTTGACGCTATTGGCGAAGCAGCGACTGGTAAGGTTGCCAACGATGAGGCCACCGTCCCTAAGATGATCAGCCCCGTGTTCCACCAATTCTTGGACTGCGTCTACCAGCTTTTGCGGCAGAACCCAACCAAGTTTGAGTTTAATGAGCGATTTCTTCGCCGGCTGCTCTACCACCTCTACTCTTGCCAGTATGGAACCTTCCTCTATAACTCCGAGAAGCAGAGACGCGACGCCCGTGCTGCTGAGCGCACTCAGTCTGTCTGGGACTACTTCCTGGCTCGCAAGCAGGAGTTCATCAATAAGGATTACGATCCCACCATTGACGAATACGTCAAGGGTCGTGATTCGATCATTAAGACAGACCTCAAGGATATTATCTGGTGGCACCAGCTTTTCAACCGGTCTGACGAGGAGATGAACTCGAACCTCCACGCCACAGCTGCGCAGGCTCAGAACAAGGCCTCGGCCATGGCCAACTTCCAGCCGGCGACTGAAGAGTCCTACGCGAGCAGCCATCCTGGCACACCTCCTGACGACACTCCCGGTTCCAAGCCACCCTCGCTGGCGGCTAGCCAGTCTGTTCTCGCTGCGGTGGAATCATCACACACCACTCTGACACCCGAGGAGCAATGCCAGGGACGACGATTGGAGCAGGGACAGGAGCGACACCTTCAACGGAGTGCCTCGGCTGAGAACCCGAATGCCTTCTCGTCTATTCGAGACGGCATTGCGGACGGAATCGCAAACCTCAATATTGGCCGCAACGTCACCGGCATTCTCAACAACCTGGGTACCAACAATCGCAATGGCAGTCCAGCCTCAACCTCGAGGGTCCCGACTCGCGGCGAGCAAGAGCTACGGGAGATGACTTAGGGTGTCAATTTCGCGCAATTGCCCGACCCGCCCTACCTGATCGAAGAGACCGAATCTACTATGCTCTTCGATGCAGACCTCTACCATAGGGAGAACTGGGATCCTGATTACCCGAGCGACAGTGAGTCAATGCCGGAATCGAAGAGAGACCCAGAGGTGGGAGTGAAGTTGGCGGAGATGACAGAAGTGCTGACGGAGACTGTTTCAAAGTTGAACGCAGCGAACTTGGCGAAGATACCGCAGAATATGTCGGTAGCCACGAACTCTGCCGATGCGGCGACAGTCTCTGAGTCGGATTTGGAGTCTGCCTTAGATTGGGGTAGTCAAGGCATGCTGGACTGGGGCGTCATGAGCTTTCACGGGTACATGATCGGTGAGGAGTCTGACAATGAGTGGCCGCCTGCTGGTTATACGATGAACGGTGCTTTCGATGAGACAAGCGGCGACGAGAGCAGTGGCGACGAGACCAGCATTAGTGGCGACACCACCAACGGCAGCCAAATGAGCAGCGACAGCATGTCCACGGCCGACAGCGACGACATGAGCCTTTGTGAGGACACCATCGTCCCCATAACCGAGAGCGACCTCATCCCTGACGGTCTTGACAACAGTTTCGATGAGATGGCCGACAACAGCATCTTCGTCATGGTGGACGGCAATGAAGATGCACCCTCAGCTGATAACGGCAGTATCTTGCACGGGATTCAAATGGGTTCCCAGTGAAGATGGCGTCTAAGGCGTTCAGTTCAAACTTTGATCGTTCCAACAAACACACAAAGTGCAAACGAGAAAAGTTTGTACGAATGGAGAAGTGAGAAAAGAGAGGCCTTCGACACGTTTCACGGTTTTCATGACACGCCACTAGGAGTTTTGTACATTTATTACGACCATTTTGTTTCTTCACTTTCGGCCTCTTTTCGCAGGGGGCCAAATAGAGACATGCCGATACTGCTTTCTGGCGTCAAGGCGAAACGACCTGCATTCAAAGAGCGTTGGTCCAGGGGCAGAAGGATAGGGCAATACAGATGGGAGGGGTCTGGAAAAACAAAAGGTGCGGAGCAATTGAACGCGTCCGACCGAGCAGGAAAGGGATGCACTTGGGGCTCATTATATAGATCCGCCTTGGGTTTTGAACTCCCCATACTCTTTGAGAAGTTTCTTAATTCTAATTAGTTAAAGTCACGTCTTGCGTTCCTTGTGCAGTCTGAACGAACACTGGCATACTGAGTATGTTCCTCACACAGGCAATCTGGCATGGATGCAACACGTTGCGACAACGGACGGCATCTTTCTTTCGATCTTTTTTTTTTGGTCTTCCGTCTATTTTATCTGGCAATATTTTGGGCCCACTTCTGGTCCAGGGAACAAGTCTATGTCTGTCTGCCCTCGCATCGCCCAACTTTTATGTTTTTTTAAATTCCGTAGCCAACCGTCATGTCCACATATCCCATCATGCTCATCACTACAAGAAAACCTCAAGGTTGATCTCAAGGGTGCTCACGGGGTATCTACGTTGGTTAGTATGCATTCTCTATCTCAGTCAGAGGAGGGGGAGCTCGTACCTCAAGTCAAACTTCTCCAGCACGGTGGGGTGCAGGATGCCAAACTCGCCGATGCGCTGCTCCTTGCCGCCAAGGCGAAGGTAAATGGCAGCCGCGTGGCCAGGGAAGAAGGTGTCCTCGTTAATCTCCTCGATCCAGTAGCCGTCCGGCTTTCCGGGGTTCTCGGCAACCTTAAAGTCAAGGCTCTTGCCAGCCGTCAGGCCCTCATCATGAGTGAGGAAGGCGGTGCGAAGCATCAGCAGGATGCGGTCCAGGAGACCGTGGACGATCTCGAAACCAGAGGTCTTGCCGTACCACGCAGCAGCAAAGTGGCGCTCGTTGCGAGCCTTGCGCTCCAGGGACTCATCCTTGAAGACGACGTCGGAAGCCTCGAAGATCTTGATGGGCACGCTGTGCTTCTTGTTCTCGCGAATAGTCTTGAGGAGACCCGGGACCAGAGATGTGCGAACGACCTGGTACTCGGCAGTCTTGGGGTTGGCGAGCTTCACGGCAGTCTTGCCGTCGTCTTTCCTGTTCAACCAACCAAAGTTCTCGTCGTGACTGCACAGGATCAGGGGCAAGACCTCACTCCAGCCAGCCATGGCGGCCTCATTTCGGATGATATCGGCGAGCTTGTTAATCATAAGAGGCGCACCAATGGTCGCGCTCTTGTTGGGGGAGGATCTGGGGAGATTGTTGTAGCCGTAGCAAATGGCGAGGTCCTCCATAACGTCGCACTGGTGTAGCACGTCGGCGCGGGTAACTGGGATGGTGACACTCAAAAGGTTGCTGTCCTTCTCTGAGGGCTTGGCGATGTATGCCATCTTGGTGAGAAGCTTGCAAAGCGTCTCGGGTGACTCGTTCAGGCCAGTGCAGGCGTTGAGGTAGTCGATCTCGACGTCGATAGTGCGGGGTTCAAGACTGGGCGTCGTCCTCGAGGCACCGTTGTGCTCGGAGACGATCTTGACAGGCTCTACGGTGAAAGGCTCGGCGGTGTACTGAGAGAACATGGTGACCATCATGTCGCAAACGATGTCGAGCTTAGTGGCGTCGGTAGCTGTCATCTCGATGAAGACATTTGTGGTGTTGACGGTGATCTTGGAGTGGTCGCCGTTGATGATGGGCGGCAAGGAGCAGACGGTGCGGTTCTTGTCGTAGATGACTGGGTAGACAGGCGAGTCCTTGATGATGTGCAAGTACTTGCCAAGGTGCTTGTCGCCCTCGTAGAACTGCATCAACTCCTCGCCATTCATCTCCTTGGTCTGGTTCAGGGGCTTGAACTTGATGTCCTTGGGGGGCAGCGCCTCATACGTGAAGGGGCCCTGGATGGTGTCAAGATCGTGGGTACCAATAGCCACCAATGTCCTTTGTCTCGCCAGGTTCATGTGCAGCTTGTCCTGGAGGCCGATGAAGGAGTCGTAGCTTTCTTGGGTGAACTTGACGTTTCTGAGGATAGCGCCGGCAACGAGGGGACGGATCTTGCTGGTATCTTGGGCCACGGTGATGACCTGAGTCTCGGGCTCCTTAGGCTCAACGACCTTGTAGTTTGGGGGAGCGACCTTTCCCCTGAAGATGTTGAGCATGAGCGCTATTCCCTCGAAACACAGCATATCATATCGGTTGGCAGGGATCTCGATCTTGAGCTGGGGCGGCTCCTGCACGCCATTGACGATAGGTCGCTCGTCATTCTCGGTGTCTTCGTCGAGCTCGATACCGAATTCGAAGCAGAGGTCCTCGAACTCCTGGGTGGTGAAGCTGTGTGCGGTGATGTTTAGCGGAGGGGCACTCGGGATGGCGGGGTCGTGATCTGGGTCTGGGCAGGCGGTGCGACCGCGGCGCAACTCACTTTTGGCCCAGGGCCTTGTACAAATCGTACTTGTTAACGGCGATGGTAGGCATGGTGAGAATTGACGAGAATCTCTCGAGGAAATATCGGTCCGGCGGTCGTCAGAGGGCGGGAGAGGCTCCGTGAAGTGGTCGCTGTCCTTCTCCGAGTGGCCTTGAGTCACAGAAATTTTGGGGGATTGTCGGAGGTCAAGCAATTGCATGTACGGAGGGTCACTGGCGGGATGAAGTTGCTGCTTTACAAAGCCAAAAGAGTCATCGGAGTGGTCCTGGCGCCAATTGAGGGAGTGCGGGGTTGAGGGGCTGCAAAAGCGGCGGGCAGACTCGGCATCTCAATCTTCCAGGGTCCGATGTGGCTCGTGCTCGGGCAAGCGAGACCGGGACTGGCAGCCACGGGCTGGACTGATCTGTCGTCGTTGATGCTGATGCTGGCTCCTGATGACAGCTGGCGACCAGTGCGTCCGCGCCCAGACGCAGCCATATGTTCTACATTCCAGTTCCACATGTTTTTGCCCGAGAAACAGACACGAGATGAGAGACGAAAGAGCTCCATGTTTGTTGGCGTTGCCTTGCATTTGACAGAAGCCTGACGTGACGTCTCCATGCGTGAAGCGCGCGCTTGGTTTCTGGAATCAAGCATCGTCACCAGCGCACGGAGGCCATATCCGTGAGGCAGGTGCCTCTGGGCGAAGCACTTGCAGCTCATATACGTACTTGTAGCTCAGCTGCACCTCGTCATCGCCCCTCCATCAAGTTTTCGTCTGGTGCTTGATCGAAAGGCCGTGTTCTGCTGCAGGCCTCGGGAGGATCATGTTCTGTTTACACCGTAGGATCCTGCCATTCTGGCATGAAAAGGGAAATTTGTGCATCTCCTTCCTTCTAGAACGATGAAGATGCGTTGCAGAAAGAACTTCGTATCCCAAGGTAGGTAGGCAGGCTTGCGTTGCTCGCCTGAGAAGAGGCATGAGGCAGGCAGCCCCTCCCCTCACCAAAGAGCCACTGTGAAGTGTGAACTGCACCCCTGCCTTACGTCGTCCAAGGCTCCAAGATCCAGCCCGGAAAGTACGTACCTTACCTAATGGAAGGCAGCATTAGATCTCAGCTGGGCACTGGACGCTGCCCTGAGGTGCCGCCCGTGGCCACAGATACAGTGTACCTTCGGGCAGGGCATGGCATTTGTTGATCAGTGGAAGCTTTGCTAGCCCACCTTTTAGCACGCTGCATCTCACTCACTGGCCACGCTGCGGTGGTGGGACTGGCTGGCAGAACCCAGCCCGGCGAGCAGCACAGGACAGAAACGTCAGGTCGACCTCCCGTCCAGCGGCCAGAGACCAGACCAGACCAGAACAGAACGGCGTCGTCAAACTTGCCTCTCCTTGCCCTTCGCTGCCTCCGTCCACCATCTGAAATCAACACCACCTTTTTCCTTCTCCACCATTGCCGCGATATCTTGCTGATTCTGCCGCCAACCCGCCCTTCGGATCGTGGCATGGTCTGCTCACCTGCAACCTCCGCCTCGTAGTAATTACCATCCACCATCCCGGTTGCGTCGTCTCAGATTTTAGAGCCCCCCCATCCCACAACGACCGTCGCTCGCCCTCAACCAACCCATTGCATCACTCGCACGCGATCCACCCCGATCGCCCAAAAGACGTCGACAACCTTTCCCCTTCACATCCTTCGACCAACCCATCGATAGACGCGCCTGCGCCCGAATCGCTCGCCATGGCAGACGCGCCGAATACCCAGGACGAGCTTTACCCCATCGCCGTCCTCATCGACGAGCTAAAGGTATGGCGGTGACTGTCCCTCTTCCCTGCCCGTCCTCGGCCTCCTGCCCGACCAGACTGCTGCTACCACCACCACCATCCATCCACCCGCCGCGCACCTTCGATGCTGACAGATCAAATACAGCACGACGATGTCCTCCTGCGCCTCAATGCCATCCACCGCCTTTCTACTATCGCCCTCGCCCTGGGCGCCGAGCGCACGCGCGAGGAGCTGATCCCCTTCCTCGACGGTTAGTGTCGCGCATCCCATCCCTCTTTGAGCCATATCTAAACAACCTACTAGAATCTGTCGAGGACGAGGATGAGGTTTTGGTCGCTCTCAGCGGCGAGCTTGGCAACTTCATCGAATATGTCGGAGGCCCTCAATGGGGCCACGTCCTCCTATCTCCCCTCGAGAACCTCGCTGCCATCGAGGAGCCCGTCGTGCGGGACAAGGTAGCTATCGCCCCCTTCTCCACCTGCAACCTACGTCGCCTAACCAGCACAGGCCGTCGAGTCCCTCAACAAGATCTGCGAGGAGCTGTCCTCCCAACAAGTCGAAGAATAC